CTGGGTAACATCTTCAGAGCTAGCCAGGTAATGAAACGTTTGCAAGAAAAGAACCAAGCTCAGAGAACCCCAAGGACTCCACAAAACTGTGTTTTTAAATATATAAATAATGAATTTCAACACATTCAGCCCAGGACTAGACTGATAGGTCTTCTTCCCTATGATTAAACTTGCTTCCCCCCCCCGCAAACAATTTGGCCTCGATTCTCAAATTGATTGAGAAATGCTTTTCTGCAGGAGCAGGATGTACTCTGTTTCTGCTGAAGCAGATTGTGTTCTATAATTCTTATGGAGATTTATATAGAAAATGGATTATTCCAGACAGCGTGCGTGCAAGGCTTTATGTCTTAATTTGTAATATTCCTGTATTTTCCCTCTGCTGCTTCCAACCTATTTGTTCCACATCAGTTAAGGAGGGAAAGATAAAATAGCCACATGAAATCTTTCATTGGGTCCCCAAAGCATTATATACCTCCAGTCATGGAACTATTGGTTAAAATTCATCAATCATGAGAGATTTCAGCAAGAAAGTTGTCTGAAAAAGCTTTGACGTCATATGTCCTCTAAATGTGAAAATTAGCCTATCATGGAGATCAACTCTTAGTTTGTATAGTCTCAGGAATGTGTAAAGTCATTGTGCATAAGTCTTCCATTAACACTATTCATATATTTCCATAACACTGTTAAGAAATGAGAAAGAAATCCCCTTAAAAAGAAACTCTTTGTTAGACATTATCTAAGTCTTGTAGCTCGCTATTTCACACATGGCTGCACAGTAGGGTGCTGTACTGGAGTTTTAAAGTCATTTAAAAAAAATACTTTTTTGTGCAAACACTAGTACAAAGAAGCTACAGGTCTCTCTTGGCTGCTTTATGTCATAGACTGTTTTGATTGTGGAGCTGTGCTTATTCTTTTTTCTGCATATGCATATCCCACTATGATGAAGAGGATTATATCTAGAAGCCCCCACTCAAAAGTTAAGTGTGAAGGCACCCAAAGATAAATTAGAGATGGAAAACTACCAGCCCTCTAAATACCAATCCTCTATCAAAGCTGCAGTGGTACATGCAGGATCCAATGCATTCATCAAAATAATAGAAGTCTCAATGCAGGTTTCCCCCCTCCTTTTGTATATGCATGATATCATAGTTTGATTACAAAATGGGTGGAGCTTACAGAGCAATGCTGCTTTCATTCACACCACAGACGTCTCTGTAAAACTATTTCCCAATGCATTGGTTATACCTTTCCTACCAACAGACTTTTGCTGCACTTTGAAAATTTTCAACAACTCTGGGAAACAGAGCAGCATTGCTTAGGTTAGCTGAACAGGTTGTTTCTCCTAGTTGCTTTTATCAGCTGCCAAAGATGACCAAGCATTTAACAGTCTAAGAGATTGCTTTTGGCAGCTGATCTCATTGATCTGTAGTTCTTTGATGTTGCTCTTCCTGTTGGCAGCTGTCCCAAACAGTTGGAAGTTCTAATTAGTTGTCTGAAATGCTCATCTTCTATCCTTAGCAGTTGCCTGAAGCAGTCATTTAGTTTCTCAGATCTTTCCTCATTCCTAAACATTGAAGTGGCAAAAGTTGTGGGACTAGGAAGAGACATAGAAAAGTTTATTTTTCTGCATAACATGTTGGAAGGTATGGTGGAGAAGAGAATCATGCCAGAAACTAAATGTGATGTTTATATATGCTGAGGTAGGGTGATTTTCTGGAAAAAAAACAACAACTATTCATTCTTACTCCACCAAGAATGGTCTTAGGTTTTAATAATAGGATGTTGGGCAGATTTATTGGAATGACATCCAAGACCAGGTTCTGACATTGTTGATGTTGACCAAGTCTCAAGCTGTAAAGTTCTGCTCTTCCTGATTTAAACTGTGAGATATTTGAGGGCTCATTATTTGTGTTTTTAAAGCTGTAAGAAAAAATAAGTAACTTACAGTGAATTGTAAATGTTAATTTATATTGTGAAGGTTAATTTTCAACAACATAAGTGTTTTTGTTTTGTTCCAGAAATAAATTTGTGGAATTTGATATGAAACCTGTCTGTAAGAAGTGCTATGAGAAGTTCCCACTGGAGCTCAAGAAGAGACTGAAGAAATTGGCTGAAACTCTAGGAAGGAAATGAGATGATTTCATGTAGCTGTGCAAAATTAAGGAAATGAGATTGATGTTCCAACTTATTTTCATTGTGTCTATGAAATCTAAGCTTTAAAAAAAACCTCTGCATGACTAGCTTGATACAAAAATATATGCCTTACCATAAAATCTTTAATGTCTTATGTAATGCTATATCTACCCTTTAAATTATGTATTCTATGCTTTTATAAATTTTTAGATAACTCAGTCATAAGTGGAAGATGAAAACATAGTCTTTAAATTGCAATAGAAGTCACTCTATCAGATCACTGGTGCTGATCTCAGCTGAACATAATCTAGCACTGCCTCCTCTTACCTAGAATCCTCCCGATGTGCTGGGCTTTTAATTTCCAGAATTCTCAACCAGCCCAACAGATTAGAAAAGCAAATTCTCTTGGCAAATAGACCAAATCTCAGCATCCTGTGCCTGTCAGGGAGTGACTGCTGGAGCAAAACAAACTAGAAATTTAAGTCAGGAAATCTACAAACACTTGTAAGTTCCACTGAACTAAGTGAGTCTCATCAACAGGATTACATGGTTAAGTATTTTCTAAAAAAATTCATGGGCTCATGGCCATAGTACTTATCAACACAGGTGGGGACAATTTTATAAAAATCAGACTTGTGTGTTAGAAGACAAGTTATCTCTTGTGGTGTGGGGTCTTAGAAGCATTTCCTTCTAAGGAATGCTGAGATGCCTTTCCTTTGATTGTAAACCGTCAACCCTGGCGTTAAAAATTGTGAGACCAAAGATTACAGATTGAAGGTTTTTTGTAGGCACTGAGTTCTTGTTATTTAACCTCAGCTTGAGAACGGATGAAACACAATGGTTTTCCAATATTATATTGCTGTCATAAGGAAAATGGTAATAATATAAGCAAACATTCTCAAGATTTAGGAAGAGTTCATATTCTATCGGGACATCTTGTTGATTCTGTCTGCTAGCTCAACGGAAAGAATTTTAAGTTATTGAGATCCTCTTTTTTAAAAAGCAGCTAAATTGGGGGTGAATTTTAATGGAACCTTATTTCAAACTATCACAAATGCAGAAGTGGTTTGTTCAGAAAGTTTCTGATGACTAGTTCGTTGAGAACTGCAGTGAATGTTTCCAGATTCTGGCAAGACTGAACCCCAAAGTGTGAGATGCCAACATATTTCTGTGTTAACTAGAATAGAACTCAATTACTTGAATTTTGTGAGGATTTTTCTTGGATCCTTTTGTATTTTATTTCCTTGTGCCTTAATTATGCTGTATATTTACAACATTTATCAAAATATTTACTCTTTGTTATTTTATTCAGAAAATATATGCCTTGTATTCTAGGAAGTGGCATATACTAAACACATTTAAAATAATGGAAAGTATTATGGATGCAAAGCACATTTCATTTCCCTTCCTTCCCCTCTTCGGCTCAGTTATTTTTAAATTTTACATGAAATAAAACCTGAACATATTTCAATTATTATGGACAGTGTATTGTGTTAATGAATCATCAAAATACAGTTATAGTTATCTGTCTATTTACACTTAGATAGGACCTAGATCAGTGTTGTCCAAACTTGGCCACTTTAAGATGAGTG